ATATTCCTTTTTCGTTCAATGGGTTGAAAGAGTTCGAAATTATGGGTCGTTACGCATTTCCTGAGTTTTTCATTACTTTCATCAAAGAAAATCCAATGATTGAAAAATTAAAGTTAACATGTGCTCGTTTACTCTGGAATGTGTTAAGCACAGGTGATTTAGTGGCTGCGCTACCATTTTTGAAACACATTGATTATTATGGTGGGTTAAGCGACACCAGGAACGCATTACCAATTATATTGCCGTATGTGGAATTTTTGAGAAGATTTACTTTTAGTACTGGAGATACTGATGAAGAAATCAGGGCAGGTTGCGGCGACAAATGGCGATTCTATCGCGATAATATTCCTTATAACATGGTTGTAACATTGGAACGCAATGACGCGAATGTGAATGAATTACCACTCATCATTAACTAATCTATTACCACGCAACCCCGAAACATACGTTCACGCATATATATTTATATTAAAGATTTCAGTTTTCTATATTAGTTTTAAGTTAAACTGGAAAGTGAAACTAGTTTATTCATTCTCGAACCTAGAGTCTAGATTGAAAGTTTGTTTTGAACGTATCTCGGTCTGATTTTTAAGCAATGTATATCCTTCATATATATATATTGCAAAAATTCTGTAATGCAAAATAATTTAATCAATAAATTTTGTTTTGTCTGTTTATAGTTTTATTAATGCCTTTTACTGCGAAAGACTTCTACTTTCACATATATCGGCCCATGAACGATTACAATAATACTTTCTCTCAGCAACTACGTGCAATGGATTTGTTTCATGAATCTCTTGAAGTGAATAAAAAAGTGCATTTTATTTTCTAGTCTAAAATTGAAATTAAAATTTTGCAAAACTCATATCCCATTTACGTTTGCAATGGCAGTATGGACGCTTATTATACAGATCAATCAAAACTGGATGCTATTCTGGCTTTGTAGTTGTATCGATTGCAGCAACGACAGATCATTTACTGCGTTTTGTCTTCCGGTCTCTCCACTTAAGTCGTACATTCTGTCAAAGAAACACCAAACATTTAGGTCAATTATGGGCTTATTAAATAATTAGCAAATGATTTATTTTATGAATTATAATGGATAACTCTGATTGTAGCACTCACCTCAATATAAAGTCATAGTTGTAGCTCATGCCGTTGGTAATTTTGAGTAAATTCTTCATCAGTCCACTGGGAATGATATTAAGAACGGGCATAATGGTTTTGCCACCACATCGATGCAAATAGGTCAGAAATTGGTGTACAAACAACACTTTGGGCGTTAAGTCACTCGAAAATGTTAATTTGTACAATGTTTGGAATAGGTCTTGCAGACAACTTTTCAGCGGCTCTTGAAGTTTGGCTGAAGACGTTGAGTTTGTATCGTTGTCACCATTTGTCACATTTTCGGCTCTCTCTTGGCCATCTGACAGTATTTCTAATAGTGAATCATCCATTTTACGGATCTTAGCAGGGCGCTCATCACTGGAATCGTTCCCATTGAACGAGCGCTTTGCTGTATGTGCATTCTTTTCAAGCGATGACATTATGGAATAAACACAGAGTCGAGCTAATACCGACAGCTGTGGTTCGATCAACTCAAATTTTCTGAAATCAAAATGAAGAATGAGCATAGAGATTACAAATGACGACAGTAGAAGGGAGATTTTCATTAAACGTCATATTAAAATGTGTATTAAATTAACTTACTGTGTCTTGTTCAACAGAATGATTGGCAGTATATCAGACAGCAAAGTTACTGTGCATTTTTGGATGTTCAAATGCATAACCGCAAACACTATGTCCATGGATTTACTGATATCCTATTGATGGAAATTGTAATTGAGATTCAGACCTTTTTAATCAAGTAAAAATTGTTGCAATAATTCGAGGCCAGATCTTTTTTTTTCGTTAGAAAAAAGTCTCGCAAGTGGACCCACCTTGGAAAATTTACAAAAAATAATTTCATTGACCATCTTCGAGACAAGCCAATACGGTCCACATGACTGCAACAGATTATCAAGAACTTGTGTTGCCTTCACCGATAGCCATCCACGGCTCGAAACGGTACTCCAAACTTCACAGAATTGCTCTTCAAGCGGCTGATTCGATACAATATTCAGCATTGGCGATCGTACTTTTTGGTTTTGATGCGCGTCCGTTTGCATTTTGCGTATAATTTGGCTGGTTAGATTCAAGCGTTCGTTGTTTGTGGCATTCATTTCATCGCTCGTGTTGAGCGTAA